GCCCGCGCCCGCGCCTGCGTCCGAGCTTCAGTAAAGTCGACGCCGGGGCTAGGCAAACGAGTGGAAAGAGTGTTTATAGTGAATCGTGAAGTGTTCGGTTGTGTGTCTGCGTGTTTGAATGTACGTGTGTGTATGTGTGAATGTATGTATATGTATGTATTTGTATGTATTTGTATGTATGTCTGAATGTATGTATTTGTTTGTATGTATGTATGTGTGAATGTATGTATGTGTGAATTTATGTATTTGTATGTATGTGTGAATGTATGTATTTGTATGTATGTATATATGTATGTGTGAATATGTATTTGGTTGTATGTGTGAATGTATGTATTTGTATGTATGTATGTATGTGTGAATGTATGAATGTGAATGTATGTGTGTGTGTGAGAATGTGTATGTATGTGTGTATGTGAATGTATGTATGATTTGACAAATGAAAAAATAAGAATAAGGAGAAAGAAAGAACAATATAAAGAAGTTACAACTGATAAATAATACCTAATATATAACCTGCACAGCCCAAAGTGGCCATGTACATAGTTATGTTAACGTAAGTCACTTCATTTAAGTTAGGCTCGCGCAAGCTTCAAATGCCTAATCGGCTGCAGCGAATATATCTTTTGTATCCCTAAAGATAATAAACTCTCGCCTCTCCAGAGCAACTGGAGGGGGAAGTATCGAAAAGGGCCTGCGCCCGCGCCTGGCGTTGACGCGACGTTCACGGTCATCGCAGCGATGCTAGCGCGAAGGTAACCATCCGTCTGCATCCGCTGTGGATTAGCGAAGCGACATCGGTGTCAATGGTTTAAACATCGATGTATTAACGCCGATGTTTTTTAACAACGATGTATTAACGCCGATGTTTTTTAACAACGATGTATTAACGCCGATGTTTTTTAACATCGATGTTTTTTAACAACAATGTTTTGTGATCTTTTTTTCTTTTCCAATGTTTTGTCTCTGAATGAAAAATTCCCATGATCATAATACTGTAAAAGTTAAAATATGAAATATTAACTGATGATAACACTGTGGTTTATGTTACCTGGACGCTGTTTGTGCTACCTTCAACGAACAAACTCTTTCGCCCGAGATGACTTCCATGCCATTGTATTTCCTCTTATTCATTTCGCACATTGAGATGTGGTCAACGAATACGTTGTGGTTTATGGTCTGCCCCTTCTTCTGGTACCCTTATTCGGCGAATTGATAAACCGAACACTCAAATTAAATTTTAATGCACACGAATTTAATATTAGAGCATTTAATGCACATTATTTAATATTATTTTATATTAATTATGCCGGAAATCGTTAATACAATATAACTGTCGACAACTCCATTTAGCGCAGTCTTGCTTCCTCGAAAAATGTAACGAGAAATATTTAGCTTCAATTTGCACCGTTTGTTCGTTATATACGTGGACCGCACTTACAGTGTACCCGCCGTCATTTCCAAGCCACTGTAGCGGACAGCGAGACCCTGCAATACGATCTGCTCACTAGTCCTGTGCGCGAAGAGCGAATGAATTGACCGCAAAAAAGATGTTCGTGAGATGCTAATTTCTTATAAACATATATACAACTTAAATTTCTTACAAACCTACATATATCCAGATCGAAAGAGGATATCCAAATAGTATTTTGGAATTATGCATCTCGTTAAAAGACCATTTAGATTAGAAAAAACGAAAATTAGGGAAAATTTTCAAATATATAAACAATTTCCAATTGAAGCGATTTTAAAGTGGGAAGGGTTCCTCATGTCTTAGAGCCGGAAACCGCGGATTAACAATTTTGCAACAATTATTTGTAAAAGCAATTTTGGAAAGTCCGCTAATATAGCCGAGGAGGGTCCCAAAATTGTTCCCATGTTGAACAATGCAAAATAAAAAATTTAAAACCGTTTCAAATTGATTGCAAAATACTTAGTTGTTGGTAATAGGTTCACCGGTCTAGTGACACCAATACCCGACAGCAAACGCTCGCTCACAAATATTATTTCGTCATAGCGTACGCGCAGGTAAAAAATCTGTCCGTCGACTGCGAGAGATGGCGAAATTATCGCCTCATACGTACACGAACGAGAAGTCGCCCCCGGGAGAGATTCGTTCCAGGCTCTTGGGATTTGGTGTCAATCTCATAGACCAAGGTAGTCCAACTGGCGGCCGGGGGTGCCATTTGCTGTGACCCGTGGAATGTTATTAGGAAAACGTGAAAGTTCCTTGCATTCATGTCGGGCGAATATATTGCGTCTAGCGCACACGCCCTGTCGGGTCAACACCCCGACCCGATGTAAACATAGGTTGTTCTTAATATATTTGAAAAGTTTCGTATTGTCTCATCTATTTGGTCTTTTGACGAGATGCAAAATTCCGCTATCCTATACAGTTACAATTTCAGTAAATTCAGAAATTCAAAATCATCCCAATGAGTTTCTTTGCGTTATCCATGGCAAGCACCTGATATTATTTGCGTAGTTACAACCCCACGGCACCCCCTCCTGTTTCAGAGCAGTAACCGGGCAAACCGCCGATATCAACCGTATTGGGTCACGTGTGAATCGCCCGATTAATGACAATATGGTCCGCAATCATATTAAAGGTTTTAGTTGTGGCCCTTGAGGCCTTGCAAGTTGGACACCCCTGTCATAGTTAAATTCTAAACCATAGGTCTTGCACTTAGACCTAGTTGATTGGTCAACGCACCCGTTATCCCGGATCGGGGGTTTCCAAGATTGCCTCCACTGTTGCAATGATGAAATTTCGTTTGAAGTTCGCTCTTGGCGCAAGTGTACATTAAAATAATCCTAACGTTATACAAGTGGAAGGTTGGCAAACTCGATTCAGATCACCAAAAGGAGTTTTAAGTACATGTTCAATTCGAAAGAAAAAGTGAATTCCATGTTATCTGCGGTGTCACTTGGTTCCTATATTCTTTATTCTAGCTTCCCGATGAGTTTTGCTCTTGCTGGTGCCACGACTGGAGCTAAGCCTGGTCAATATCAACAATATCTTTGCCAACCCACTCGTTCAGTAACCACTACCCACATACAGAACTATTACTCCAATATTGACACCTTAGATGGCTCATGGCTAAACTGATAGCAATGCAGTGCCTTTGACCGGGAGATTCTAGGGTTACATTCCCGACGGTGGCAGGATTTTCGGCACTTGCTACAGAGCTAGGAAGAATTCAGCCGCGGTCTGGAGGGGACTTCTAGCGACCGGCTGCTCTGATCGGTAGTTTTCCGTTGTTTCTCCGATCAACACCAAGCGAATGTCGGAGCAGTACCCTAACAAACGCACCAGGAATCGCGTTACATCTTTCCTTTCTCTTCCTTTTCCTATCCTCGCCACTTATATATTTATACTGGTATGCACGTCACCATTACACATGCTGGGAGACCAGTCAGGAGCTTAGAGCTTGTCTCGGCTGGGATGATGCCACGCTGTTGGGGCCTTGATACTTTGTTGGGGAAATCCCTGCAAGGCGATGGGTAGGTCGGATCTCGCCATTCAAAGGAGAGAAGATCATTGGCAACTCCCGCGATAAAAAAAAAAAAAACATTCACAACTCTTAGTTCGGGAATAATGACCGTACGCATCTGGATTCAACAAGTCAATCAAAGCTACCATCCCCTACCAAAAGCATGTGTTCTTCAATCATTATTAGTCACATTCGGCTTTTTCATTGCTTATTCTGCCAGCAGACGTTGATTTCAACAACCTCAGTTACAATTCTTTTCATTTCTTCATCCATCACTATAATGGAAGACTTCTGGAAATCGTTAAAACGCTAGTCGTAACGCGGTTCCTTAGAGAGACTTCAACTCGGAAAGACTCCTCCGCGTCCCTTCTTATCGTGTCCGTCGTTGTCGCCTGTGTATGGGGCCTTGAAATTATTGTTCCTTCTGCCAACAGCCGTCGATTTCAGAAAACCCCAGTTACAATCCTTTTCATTTCTTCATCCATCGCTGTAATGGAAGACATCTGCAAATCGCTAAGACGCTACCCGCAACGTGGTCCCTTAGAGAAGCGTCAACTCGCAAAGGCTCCTTCGCCCCCGCCCTCGTTTTGTGTCCGTCGATGTCGCCTGCGTATGGCGCCTGCATAAGTCGCCTGCGTCGATGACGCCTGCGTTGTCGCTTACGTTGAAGTCATTGTTCATTCTGCCAACAGCCGTCTATTTCCGCAACCTCAGTTACAATCCTTTTCATTTCTTCATCCATCACTATAATGGAAGACTTCTGGAAATCGCTAAAACGCTAATCGTAACGCGGTTCCTTAGAGAGGCGTCAACTCGGAAAGACACGTCTGCCCCCGCCCTCTTTTTGTGTCCGTCGATGTCGCCTGCGTATGGTGCCTGCGTCGATGTCGCCTGCGTCGATGTCGGCTGCGTTAATGACGCCTACGTTGAAATCTTTGTTTGGTCTGCCAACAGCCGTCGATTACCGCAACCCCAGTTAGTCCTTTTCATTTCTTCATCCATCGCAATAATGGAAGACTTATGGAAATCGCTAAGACGCTACCGGTAACGCGGCTCCTTAGAGAAGCGTCAACTCGCAAAGACACCTCCGCCCCCGCCCTCTTTTGTGTCCGTCGATGTCGCCTGCGTCGATGTCGCCTTCGTTGATATCGCCGGCGTTGATGACGCCTACGTTGAAATCATTGTTCATTCTGCCAACAGCCGTCGATTTCCGCAACCCCAGTTAGTCCTTTTCATTTCTTCATCCATCGCTATAATGGAAGACGCTACCCGCAACGTGGTTCCTTAGAGAAGCGTCAACTCGCAAAGACTGCTCCGCCCCGCCCCCTTTCCGTGTCCGCCGATGTCGCCTGCGTGTGTGGCCTTGGACCGACGCGGCAATTACGATAATTCCGCGCCGCATTACCTCAGTTGGCCGCGCGCAGCAGCGCAGACTCCCTCTGGAGGCGGAGATCGGAGTTGAGGCCAAGGCCTGCTCGCATATGGCTGGGGCGCGCCCTCCCTCCCTC